TCTGTTTTCTGCTGAGACCTCTCCTTGCCTTGCAGATGGCGACCTTGCTGTGTCCTCACCTGGCCTTGTCTTTGTGCGTGTTCCCACCTGGTATCCTTTGCCCAGATCTCCTCTTATAAGGATGCCAGTCAGATTGGATTAAGGCCCGCCCCAAAGACTTCATTTTCACTTAATCACCTCTTTAAAGACCTCATCTCCAAATATGGTCATGTTCTGAGGTACCAGATGTTAGGACTTTAACATATGAAATTGGGGGGAAGGTGGACACAGTTTGGCCCATAGCAACTTCATACCCAATAATGATGAAGCCAGACAACCCCTCCTTGGTGATAACGGGTGCCAAGGAAGCTCAAACCATGTGACTGAGCCTACCAAATGCAGCTGCGCACCGTCCTGGTGACTGTTGGTCTGGTTATCACGGGTCCGGCTGCTGTCATTGGTTTGTAACCTGGATGGCCAAGCCCTCCAAGGAAGCTACTGATTCAACCAGAGTTGGCGAATGCTGCGGCTTGCATGCCATCAGGTTTGGCTAATACAAGCCCTGTGATCCAAAGACTTTGCCAGCTTGCCTATCACCAACCAGTCCTTTACTCTAGAGGTAAGGGGACCACAGTAATGGGTCAAATTAAATGGCCTCCCTACAGGCTCAAGCTGGATATTTCCACTGGCAAACAGTCTGACACCCTATTAACAACATGCACCCAAATCAGGCCATGTGACCTAAAACCCATGTGCAGCTGAACTCCTTCCCCTGGTCACACACAGACACCACTGATCCTTACATATACTTCCCCAAACTCTCAGCACATATCCTGCAAGAACATAATTGCCAGACCTGCCACTACCTTGACCTGAAAAATAACACCAAGATGTCATTGTATTTTTTCAATGGCAAACTTCTCCTGATCTGTTGGCCTTACTCTGCTTCAACTTTCCTATGAACACACTGTATTTTAAACCAGGTGATTGTGTCCTCTAGTTTTATTTCTTCTTTCCAATTTGTACACCTGCTAGTTTTTGCACTAACTTGGACCTCCAGTCCAATATTGAATATTAGTAGTGAAATTAGACGTCATTGCCTTGTTCTCAGTTTTAACAGGAAAGCATTCATTCTTTCATTATTATGGATGGTGTTAGCAGTGGAGTTTTTATAGCTGCCTTTTATCAGTGTGAGAGAGTTTCCTTCTGTTTATACTTTAGAGTGTTAATCATGAATGCGTATTAAATTTTGTCACTTTTTCTGTAGCTATTGAAATGGCCATATGGATGATTCTTTTTAGTCTCTTATTAACATGAATTATATTGATATAGTTCAAATGGCAAACTGACATTGTATTCCCCAAATGATCCCCATTTGGTCATGAATTTACTCTTTGTAAATATTGCTGGATGTGATTTCCTGATGTTTTCATATGAATTTCCATGTATATCCATGAGGTATATTCGTCTATAGTTTGCTTTTCTTGTCATATCTTTGCCTGGCTTGGGTATCAGAGAAATGCTGGCTTCATAAAATCAGTTGGAGAGAATTTCTTCCTCTTCAATTCTCCAGAAGATTTTGTACAAAATTAGTACTAATTTAACCCTTTGAATTTACCAATGAAGCAATCTGAGACTTGAGTTTTTGTTGATTAGTTTTTAATTTTAAGTGGGAAGGAATTTAACTATAGATTCAATTTTTTTTTAATACAGAGCTATTCCATTATTCTGTTTCTTCTTGAGTTTGCTATGGGTAGTCTGTATATTCCAAGGAATTTTTCCATTTGGTTTTATTGGTACAAAGGTATGCATAATATTCTGTTAATAGCCTTAATTTCTGTAGTGATGTCCACTCTCTTTCCTGATAATAGTAATTTTTTTGTCTTTTTATTCATAATTAGACTGGCTAGAGATTTGATTTTATTGATCTTGTCAAAGAAGCGAATTTTTGTTTCACTGATTCCTGCTTTGTTATTTCCTTCCTTTTGCTTACTTAGGGTTTAGTCTTTGGACGTGAAAGCTTAGGTCATTAGCATCTATGTTCTGTTCCAATGTAAACATCTATTGTTATGAATTCTTCCTAAGCACCAATGTAGTTGCATAAATTACTTTTGATGTAGCGTGCTTTAATTTACCCTTGTGATTTCTTTTTTGTCCCATCTCTTATGACTTCAACTCTCTTGAAAGTTGCAGTGTATCTGAAAGGAATTTCTATTCTGCTGCTGGTGGGCTGATTGATCTACAAATGCCAATTACATCAGGTTGATGAGTAATATCGTTCATGTCTTCTGTGTTATTACAAATTGTCTTTCTACTTGCTCTGTCATTTACAGAGAAAAGAAATGTGGAAGAGACATTCTAGTAGGTGTGTACTGGAGTCTAGTTGTGGTTTAACTTTTAACTTCCTTAATTGCTAATGATGTTGTATATATTTTTATGTGCTTATTTGGCATCATTATAGCTGTTTTGGTGAAGTGTATGTTGATGTCTTTTGCCAGCTTCCAGCTGGGTTGTTTGTTACTGTTGAATTTTATAGTTCTTATTATTGTTTTGAAAGTTTTTTTATATATTACGGAGAGATTTTCTGAATATGTGATTTGCAAATATTTTCCTCCAGTCTATAGCTCATCTTTTTCATTCCTTTGAAATTGTCTTTTACGTTTTAAAATTTATTGATAAGGTCCAATTTATTAATGTGTTTTTATACAGGTTGTGCTTTTGGTGTCAAATCTAAGAACTCTTTGCTTAACCTCAGGTCCCAGATATTTTATTTTTTATTTTAAAAATTTATAGTTTTACATTTTATAGTCAGATCCATAAATAATTGCTAATTTCAGTATAAGGTGTATGTTTGGTTAAGGCTTATTTTGTTTTGCACATAGACGGTCAGTTCAACCATTTATTGAAAGCATGTTCTTCATCCACTGAATTGTTTTTGCGTTCTTTGTCAAAGTCAATCTGCCATATTTATATGCATACATTTCTGAATTTTCTGTTATGTTCCATCATTCTATGTGTCTGGGCCTTCATTATAGCCACATTCTTGATTACTGTAGCTTTAGAGTATCTCTCAACATCAAGTAGTATGATTCTACTAATTTATTCTTTTAAAATAAAATTTTGATCTATTTAAGTTTTTTTGCTTTTTCTAAATTTTAGAATGAGCTGGTCTATACCTACAGAAATGCTGCTAGAACTTTGATTAATACTAGTATTACATTAAATCTGTAAATCAGTTCAGGGATAATTGACGTACTGATTGTGTTTTGAGTATTCTAATTCATGAACACTGTATATCTTGTCAATTATTTAGGTGTTTGATTTCTTTCTGTACTTTGTACTGCATGGCAGACAAATTCTACATATGTTGTTAGATTTATACCTAAGCACCTCATTCTTTGGAGAGATTGGCATTGTGTTTTAAATTTTGTTCATTGCTAGGGCATAGAAAAATTAAAAATTGCTAGGATACAGAAATATGATTTTATGTGTGTGTGTGCTGACCTTGATAAAATACTTATAAATTCTAGGTCTCTGTAGAATCTTTAGAATTTTCTGGGTATGTAATTATTTCTTCCTTTCCAGTCTATATACCTTTTATTTCTTTTTCTTGCCTTGGTGCACTGGCAAGCACTTCCAATACAGTTTTGAATAGAAGTGGTGGGAATGGATATCCTTGCTTTTGTTCCCAGTCATAAGGGGAAATAATTCAGTCTTTACTAATGAGGATGATGTGACCTGATGGTTTTGGTAGGTGCCTTTTATCAAGTTGAGGAAGTTCTCTTCTTTTCCTACTTTTCTAGGAGTTTTTTTTTTAAATCATTACTGGATGTTTTATTTTGTCAAGTGCTTTTCCTGTATCAGCCAACATGATAAAGTGTTTTTTCTTTCTGAGACCAATACTGGAAAACATTTTCTGAAGAGGACCATATGATGGCCATTCTGACAAGTGTGATGTGGTGTCTTATTGTGATTTAGATTTGCATTTCCCTGATATTGGTGATGTTGAGCAGCTTTTCACGTTCCTGTTGGCCATCTGCATTTCCTCTTTTGGAAAAATGTCTGTTCAGTTCTTCTGCCCATATTTTAAATGGGTTGTTTGCTTGCTTGCTTTTTAATTGAAGTACAGTTGATTTAAAATTTTGTATTTGTTTCTAGTGTACAGCATGGATGGACTTGGAGGGCATTATGCTAAGTAAAATAAGTCAGAGAAAAGACAAATACTTTAAGATGTGGAATCTAAAAAAAATTACAGCAAATAGTGAATATAACAGAAAAGAAACAGACTCACAGATGTAAAGAAGGAATTAGTGCCTCTACCCACTTTCCCAAGCACGTTCTGGGTATCTACCAACGTCAGTAACTTTGAACTTACCTTTTATCATTTGATTCTGCATAGTATTCCACTGAATGGATAAAGCCATAACTTGTTTTGTCAGATCCAACTGGTTAATGCAAAGTGTGCTAAGACCAATAATGCAGTGATGAACATCCTTTTATGTATATCCACAACACGTTTACATGCCATGAGATAAAGCAGTAAAATTTAGCTGTAAGGGATTTTCATTTAGTTAGTAATTTTGCTTGTTTTATTGCTTTGGTGAAATTGATAATGGTCACTGTTAAGTAATTTTTCAAAAAAGTAAAGTAAAAGGGGAGGGTATAGCTCAGTGGTAGAGCACATGCTTAGCATCCATGAGGTCCTGGGTTCAATCCACAGTACCTACTCTAAATAATAAGTAAACCTAATCACCCCATCCCCCAAAAAAGTAAAGAAAAATCATCCCAACCCTCTGCCGGCGTAAACCAGGCAGCTTATTCATCAGCATCCTTCCACGTGCTCTGTGCACATAGCCATGTCTCTAGGGACACACGCCTTTATTACTGGGAGCAGACCAGGAAGGCGTTAACCTAGTTTTCTCACGACAGTACTTTTCCTGTCTTCATACAGCTATATTATATTTCTTACGTCTGTATATTATTAGAATATATTTAAATATTTTGCTGGTGCTTTTTTTTTGAATTTATATAAACATTTTTGTGTACGATCTTTCTTACTTTTGCAATAATCTTCTAAACAAAACCACTAGTGCTAGGATTTGCCAGGTCAGAGTATTCTGATACATCTTGACCAGCTAATGTGGTTCACTCCTACTGAGGGAAGGTGAACACAGAGTGCTGTGTATGTATGTGGCAGTTAATCTAAATTGCTAATGTTAATGAAATCGCAATCAAAATTCAACAGGTTTCTTGTCTACTCTACTCCATTTTTTTGTGGGGGGGGACACAATGGAGGTGGAATGTGACAAAATTAATATGCTTAATTTCCGCTAAAGCCCCCGACTGAGTATGTCTCGATGAAGGGCTGGGGTAGAGAAGGCCTGTGATGTGGCCTGAATGGAAATAGTGGGAGGAAACCAATGGCTAACAATTCGAGTTTACTAGGAAAATTTCTGTCATTAGTAACTCAGAGTTACAGGCAACCCTAATTAATGAACTAAGGTTTGAAATTGCCAGTCATATAAACTGCAGTGTGTTGTTACCAGATTAATTTTTAAAAACTAGTGTTTTTCAGTCTATAAAATACAAACTAACACTACTGTTACACCACACACAGTGGATGATACTGGACCTATAACTGAAGCTGGATGGAGGATGGGAGTCAGTCCCGAGTCTTGTCCACATCTGCTCTGTGGTGGTTGGCAGTATTTATTACGTGATTCTCTGTACTTCAGTTCACGTTTCCTGAAATTAATCTTATTAAGGCGACTTGAAGGATTCCTTGTCTATTATGAATCTGGGGTAGGGAGTTGATGAGAACTTAAAAATATCTGTGCTAATTAGAAGGACTTTCTCCACTTGGTTCAGTAATTGCCGGCACCTGTTAGGAGCCAAACACAGTTGTACACGGTAGAGATACAGGGGTGGAACACACTCCTCCCCCCACAGAGGTTACGCTGCAGCTGACGTCAGTTTGGCTTGTCCATCGTTACACTTCTGTTACAGTCCTGCCCGTGACCTTCACTTATACGCCTTCTTCTCCTGGGGAGACCCCAGTGAGTCTTCTCTTGTGTGGCATCTTGAGAATTGGGACATTCAGAACTCTTAACCACTGACCATATTTATAGAATAGGTTCTCTCTCATCTGTGAAAGCTGATGTCTGCCAAGAATTCACCTCCCAACTGAATCCTTAAAACACAACGTTTGTTTCATAATAGAATTTATTTCCCATGAAGATTCCCTTAAGTGTCTGAGTTCTGAAGGAATTTCCCCCAGTTACCAGCGTGGATGTCCCAGTGGAGATGCAGAAGGGAACTCTCACTGAAGGCTCTTCCCTGCCTCACATTTCTATAGATTGCCTCCGGTGTGGACCCTCTGATGGTATACAAGATGTGATCTCTGGCTGAAGCCCTTACAACATATACTACAGATGTACGGTCTCTCTCCAGTGTGGACCCTCTGATGCGTGTGGAAATGCGAGGCCTGGCTGAAGCCCTTGCCGCACTGCTGACATGTATAGGGTTTCTCTCCAGTGTGGACCCTCTGGTGAGCACTGAGCCCCGCGCTCCAGCTGAATTCCTTCCCACACTCCTCACATTTGAATGGTTTCTCTCCCGTGTGAAGGATCTGATGGACTTGAAGATTTGACCTCTGGCTGAAGGCCTTACCGCATGTAGCACACTTATATGGTTTCTCTCCGGTGTGGACCCTCTGGTGGGCTTGAAGATGGGAGGCCTGACTGAACCGCTTCTGACATGCCTCACATTTGAATGGTTTCTCCCCGGTGTGGACACTCTGATGGGCTTGAAGGTTGGAGGCCTGGCTGAAGCCCTTCCCACACTCCTCACATTTGTAGGGCTTCTCCCCCGTGTGGACCCTGTGGTGGTTGTGAAGATTCAAGCTCCAGTTGAAGCGCTTCCCACACACCTCACACTTGTATGGTTTCTCCCCAGTGTGGACCCTCTGGTGGGCTTGGAAATAGGAACTCTGACTGAAGCCTTTCCCACACACGTTGCATCGAAATGGCTTCTCTCCCGTGTGAACCCTCTGATGGCTCTGGAAACTTGAGGCTGAACTAAAGCCCTTCCCGCACTCCTCACACTTGTAGGGCTTCTCCCCCGTGTGGACACGCTGATGGCTGTGAAGATTAAAGCTCAGACTGAAACACTTGCCACACTCCTCGCATCTGTACGGCTTCTCCTCCGTGTGGACTCTCTGGTGGGTGTGGAGATTGGAGCTGCAGCTGAAGCGTTTGCCGCAGTCTGCACACCTGTATGGCTTCTCTCCCGTGTGGATTCTCTCGTGGGCCTGCAGGTGGGATCTCTGGGTAAAGCCCTTCCCGCAGACCTCGCATTTGTACGGCTTCTCCCCAGTGTGGACTCTGCAGTGAATGTTCAGATCGGTGCTTCGACTGAAGCCCTTCCCACAGCTCTCACACCTGTAGGGCTTCTCCCCCGTGTGGACAGGCAGGTGGGCGTACAGGTGTGATGTCTGGTTGAAGCTCTTCCCGCACTCGTGGCACGAGTAGGGCTTCTCCCCCGTGTGCACCCGCTGATGAGTCTGCAGGTTGGAGCTCTGGCTGAAGCCCTTCCCACACTCGTGACACCAGTACCGTTTTGTCCCTGGTTGAATGGGAACAGCGGAGCCATACCTGGCGTCCTTCTCACGGGTTCCACACGTACGGGACTCCTTGCCTGAGCAGACCTGCTGATGGAGTTCAAGATGGAAGCCGTCACTGAATTCGTTTCCACGTTTATTATTACACTGGGAGGTTTTCTGTGTGGTCTGAGTCACACTGAGCCGGGCAAGAGGTGATGCCTTCAAGATGTCTTCACCACGCTCTCTGTTGCCATGACCTTGCTCTCTTTTGTGCACTGTATCATCCTCGTGGTGGTGGGAAATACAACTGAAAATGTCAATGTCACTGCAAGGAGCAAACATAAATAATTTGTGTTTCATCAGAGTCTGCTGACAGCTCCGCTGATAATTCTGTGCCTCGTTCAGGTAGAGTTTATGCCAGGAATTCTGAGCTCTCCCAGATGGAAAGCCTTGATTTTTAGTAACATTGGAATGATCCTCTATAAGACTGATGACACAGCTGTCTTCCACATGAGCCTGAAGGGAGACTCCCACAGAAGGGTTACATGGTTTGGGGGACTCAGAACTCTCTTCTTGGATATTTAGCCCAGAGTCTTGACTTTGGGTTAATTTGCTCATGACATGTCTCTTGATTTGCCAGCATGAAAGCTCTCCTAGAGAGAGGCACCTTACTCCTGTTTCATGAAGAGTTTCCATCTCACTGTGACTCCTGACTCCTGAAAGGAAAACAAAAATAAGAAATTAAGGACAGAGTGACCTCAGCAAGACGGTAGATGAGGCGTTCCAAGCCCTTGCTTCCCTGTGGAAACATTAAAAAAACGACGACAAACAGACATCACTTCATTACAGTTCTGAGAAACAGCCCCAGGTCTACAGCAACCAAGACAGCATCAAATCAAGAAAAGCCAGACTTAAAAAGGTATGAGATTTGGGATCAGCCCAGAATGAGTCTGCTCATATCGTTGGCAGATCTCTTAGGAGTGCAGCTGCAGGAAAGCCCAAGGGCCTGGGCCAGAAAGCATCAGCTGGAAGCCAGTAGGTATGTGAAAGCGTAATAGTAAAACATGTGATTTACCTCGAAGAGTGCAGAAAGGGACGAAAATATGAACAAAATCGATGAGAACCTCCCCCAACAAAAGTAAATGCAAGTACACCTGTTTCAGTAACTGTATTACATGGGTGTGGACGCCCCTAAAATCAAAAGGCAGAGATTGGCAGAGGATGTAAAAAGCAAGATCCAACTACATGCCGTCAACAAGGGACGTATTTTAAATAATTAAAAGAAAAAGGACAGGAAAAGACATCATGCAAAGCCTAAGAAAGCTTGGATGGCCAAACTAAATTACCAGACAAAAAGACTTCACAAAATAGAGCCTGATTAGCTACAAGGGCATCACATGACACAAGGGTCAACGGAGTGAACAGATGTAACAACTACATAGGTGTCTGCGTCTCATAAAAGCTCCAAAATATACGTAACAAAGACAGAGGGAACTGAGAAATGGACAAATCTAGGGTCAGACATCTTAAAACATGTCTCTGTTCTTTGAAAGAACAATTAGACCATTAAAAAAAATCGGTAAAGCCACACGAGGTCTGAACCATTAATCACTTGAACCAGAATGAAACTTACAGATTGACCACTGCACCCAACTGCAGCACTCACATTTTCTTTTTCCAAACACACATGCAACATCCTTTGAGATAAACCAGACCAGACTCAGAGCTAGAAGACAAGTTTCAAAAGACTTCAAAAGGCTGGAATAGTAAAGCTCGCAGCAGAATTAAATTCAAAACCAGTATCTGAAAAAGCCCTAACTATATGGACATCAGCACACCCACACGTCAAATAAACCCCACAGGAGATTAGAAAATGTTTTGAATTAATAAAGGAAAATAACATCACAATTTCTGGCATGCAGTTAAACCACACTCAGATTACTTATAGCTTTAAATGTTAGAAAACAAGAAAAGTCTAAAATCAATGGCCTGAAGTTCCATCTCAAGCCATAAGAGGACATTAAAAAGGAAGGAAATAAACTGAAAAGCAATTAAAGAGAAACAAACAAGGTTTAAAAAAAATCAAGGAAACCAAAAGCTGAGTCTTTGAAAAAGAATTAATAAAAATGATAAACCGCTAGACTAATCCGGAAAAAAGAGGAAAGACAAATATTACCAACAAGGCATGAAAGATGGGCAGAGAAAATCTGTAGATATGTACAAAAATGCTTTTAGAAGAGGTGAATATAGGAATGCAGGCTACAAGATGGATGTATAAAAATCGACTGTATTCCTATATAGTAGAAGCAAAAAATTGAAAAATAAAAAACAATTCCACTTATATAGCATCAAACAATAAAACACTTCTGAAAATTGAAGACATGTAGTTCCTATAAACTACACACGATAAAGCGTGACACTGAGACTTAGAATACACGTTTGGGCTTCCTCCGTGGTTCCTGGCTCAGCTCCCCATGCCCTCGCGGTTTCCTAAAGGAGGAGAGCAATGGAAGCATCTTCTGTTACATGATTTGGTCATTTGTCCTCGGTTCCTGAAACGGCATCAGAGCCCTAACGGTGAAATGGGCATTTTGTTCTTCACAATAAGCCCGGGACGCTGATTGATTCATGCATCAACAAATAAACCCTGTCTTTATTAGATCTTCTGAATTAGATCTTTGTTAGATCTTCAGATTTACTCTGTTGAATTTTATTCTTTAACAGACCGCACGAGGAGATCCCAAATCAGAACTTCGAAGGCAGCTGGGGACAAGGAGAAACATGGGCCTGGCGCCTGGAGAACCATTCTGAGTTCACTGTCTTTCTCACCATTTCTGAGGGCCGCTGGTATGTGGGACAGGTGTTCCAGAAACTGCATGATACGTCCTGGCATAAAACGTTGTCTGTCATCAAAACTGAGGCTCACACTAAAAGGACTGAACCTGAGTGTCAGGGAAACACCCTCGCTGACTTCCATGCAGAGGCAGCCACACAGAGTTTATAAAGAAGGTGGCCCGTGCAGATGGAGTCCATTCTGCTGTTGCAAAAGAATGACCCCTCAATGCCAGACTTTTGCCACCATGATGTCCTTGTAACCTGACAACAGCCTGCTCCTGAATCAGAGAAACAAATGGGTGAACAGCTGTAAACTTCACAGGCGGGACTCTAAGGAACCCAAGATGGCCACCTGGTTCTTTTGCTGGCAAACCCCATTTTCTGGTTTCTGCATTCTTTCACCCACCAGCGTACATTTAGGAAGAACTTTTTGCCCCAGAGGCCTCAGATCTCCTCTTTCTGGACCCTCTGAGCACCTGCAGCTGGACTTCATTCAGCTGCCTGGACTCACGGCGGGCTGTCAGCATGCACGTGTGTTTTCCAGACGCGTCAGGGCCTTGCCCTGCTGTAAGACCAGTGCCCTCACAGTGGCCAGGAAACCGTTAAAGCATGTGTTTCCTGCTTGGGTACTCCTTCCACAATCTCCACGGATCGACCCACCTCACTAGGCAAATCACACAAGCCTTAATGAAAACATTGCAGACTTCTGGAGTGACCCCTGCCCTCTCAGCCTCCACCATCAGGCAAGGCCGAGAGAACTCGCGGGCCTACCTGAACTGAGGAGGATGCTCTCATGTTTTCGTTTTCCAGGTTTAAGGAGACCTCTTCTCTTACGTTAGCTATGACTTACAGCAGTTTGGTAAAATGTACCTTTCGTGAGCTAAGACGAAACATCTACTTTTTCTCCCTACCTGATCCTTCCAGAATGCAGAAAGCCTCCGTGAGTAGTCTTACCTTCATGATAATGTGTTTGTTTGCATACTTTCAGTGTCCTATTTGAGGGAGATGTGCGTAGACTCAGCTGTGAACAGGCAGCTTCAAGGAACCGCTTGGAAAAATCGACCTGGTACTTTGCTTACAGGGTTCTGGCGAAGCAGTCTTAGAAAAGAATTTATACGATCGGTCATGTTCTGGCTGTTATTATAAATAACAAGGTCAAGTTTAATGCAAACAAATGAGTTTTACTGCAATTATCTCTGGTTAAAAAAAGGGGGGGAGTTAATTGTAGAGGAAAAAAAATTATGTTTGCTCCTTTTTAGAGATTAGGTTCTAGGCCTGTTAACTGCCTTGGAGGTTTTGTTGCATACCTGTAAACTGTACTGGATCCTGAATTTTTCCACTGTCCCCAAGTATCTGGCTCTCCTCCCCTCCGATTTGGAATCACTGAGCATGTAGGCAGCCACCGAGCCCTGTTGGAAGGGACCTCACCCAGTGCTCCCGCCCACCCACACCGCTGTACAACCAGAAGGGACTGGACCTTGTGTGTACATCCCACAACTAAGTGACACCCCACCTGCCACCAGGTCCTGCGCAGACGCCGAGGCCTGCCCACCGAGTTGGCGGGGGAGAGAAGGAGCTGACATCAAGGTAGATGGCTTCTGTCCAAGATGCCAGACCAAAACTTTATACTTCACACATGAAACCCTTTTTCCTTTTCTTTCCCTCCCTCTGGCCCTGGCCTGGAGAGGTTACACCCTCATCTGCATCCCCCAGGCCACTGCTAAGGTGGGTAATGCCTGGAATTTAGAGTAACTTTCATTTCAGGCTGGGAGAAAATCTAACGGACCCTTGGCTTGAGGAGGCACATGCAACAATTCTTACAGACGAATCCATCACAGTGCCACCTTTGTGGAAGTAGTTGGTGCTCCGACGGGATTCATCTTTGTCTGTGGTGGTGTTCATTCTCCCGGGGCCTCTGAATGATGGCTGGTGCCCAGCTGGGCAGTGCCTCTTGGGTTATCTAACCGTGTCCCTAACTGTTCTAGAAAGGACCTGCCATAGGAGGCTTTTCACGATTCAGGGTTCACATCCTTTGGCTGGGCCCTACTGTCCTGATGACGAACAGATGTAATTGAGACCATGATCAGAAACCTCTCCTTAATGTGGATTCTCCCCCAGGTCCTTCAGAAAGCATCCAGTCCTTATAACACTTTGAGTATAGCTTAGTGAGACTCATTTCATACTTCTGGGCTTCAGAACTGTAAGACAATAAACTTGTGTTGTTTAAAAAAAAAAAGGGAAACCTCTTCTTATTTTTAGTTTTTTTTTTAGTGAGGGTGGGAGGCATATAATTAGGTTTGTTTATTTTTAATGGAGGCACTGGGGATTGAACCCAGGGCCTCGTGCATGCTAGGCACTCACTCTACCACTGAGCTCTACCCTCCCCACCTTCTCCTTAACTCTTGAAGAAACTGTAGGTTCCCTTGCTAAGACATCAGCTGCCCAGCAGAAACATCTGGACCCTCTGGCCAAGGTGGTTCTTGCTAATAGGATGGCCCTTGACTATCTTATGGCTGAAAGAGGAGGTGTCTGTGCGTGGCCAGCACCACCCGCTGGACCTGGGTTAACACTTCTGGCCAAGTTGAAACTCAGTTACATAGGATCACTGAGGAGGCCACTTGGCTTAAGAAGATGACTCCTTCAATGGGGGGTCTTTCTTTGATTCACTTGGTTTTGATTGGTTTGGGTCCTGCTTTTAGTTATTAAAATCCCTATGGCTTGTGGAATTCTCTCAAAAGCTTTAAATGCACGTTCACAGCTGCTAACAGCCAAGCAAATGATTTCCCTAGACTAGAACAGCATCAGAAAAGGAACAAAGAGAATGACCGACTGAAGGACTGCAAACCTGGGACCGTGACCCGTGAGCCTCACGGGGAGGAAATAAAAGCATGACCTACAGGTCCCTTTGCCAAGAACCAGCAAAGCCGCAGGAATCACAGAGCCGCAGCTGAGGGCAGCGCCAATGCCTTACGTTTTGAGAGTCTGATTAAAAGGGAGGAAACGTTAAGAAATAACCAGCCCCCAATGGGGTCATTTACCCCCATGATGGCAAACCAAGATGGAACTGCGGTTTCAACCTCTCCCAAGAATGTGGCCTTGAAGCAGACAGTGTGAAACTTCCTGGCCAGTGTTAGTGAGGTACTCTGCATCTGAAGACTCCCTAAAAAGATGGCCTGGCCTGAAAGAATTATTTCTTTTCTTTTACTAACAACTTCCTTGCCCCATCCTCCTTCTGCCTGTAGAAACCTTCCCTTTTGTACACCTCCTTGGGGCGCCCTTCCAATTGCTCGGGGGAATGCTGCTCTATTCAAGAATCGCTTGATAAGGCCAATTTTATATATATATATATATATAAAAGTAAGGTACCAACATGAATTCTGTAGTTGTGACAAATTTACCATGTAAGGTGTAAGGTCATGTAAGGTGTTAAAAATGGGCCCTGGGGGAAACCAGGTGAAGAGTGTAAGGGAACTCTCTACACTATGTATGTAACAGTCCTCTGACTCTGAACTTACAAGTTAGTTTATTTTCAAAAGGGTGACTTTTACTATATGTAAATTGTTTCTCAATAAGGCAGACTGAAAAGCGTTTGTGACTAGTGCACAAATCTTGGTTTCTAATACCATTCTCCGCTAAAAGGAACCAGAGTCCTTGGACAAATGGCCGAGTCTAAGGCTGGGCAAGAAAAATACCAGATGAAGTGGAGCGTCTGGTAGAGTCAGAAGGGAAGGAAATGCTCCCAAAACTTAAGGGTGGGGCCGGGGCAACGGGAGAGAGGAGCCAATTGTTAAGAGCTCCCAACCGTCAAAGCAGGAAGACTTTGACAGCGAAATAAACAAGGCCACGTTGGACTGAACCCAAAGTAAAGATAAATATACGTGAGTCTATGCTGATCATAGAATAGGCATTAGGTGAGTTATCGGGGGCAGATACTCAAGTACCTGTGGGTGACATGGCAAACTCCAGCAAGAACAAAAGTGAGAGGGCTGACAACACAGGAATGGCAGGGAGGTGAGGACGGTTGAGATGAAACCAATGTGTATTGACTACAGTGTACGATTTTCATGACTTGTGTATTTTAATGTTTCCAAAATAAAACCCTTTAAAGCCATGGAAAGACCAGATCGTCCAGATTGTGTGTGTGTGTGTGTGTGTGTGTGTGTGTGTGT